AAGCTCGTTAAAAAGAAGGAAATTTCCGATAAAAAAGTCCCGACTCCCGAAACTCTATCTCCACGAAGTTTAAAATTTATAGGCCAATTATTTATACCAATCTTTTAATTTGATATGTATGTCAAGCACCTTAATTATAATTTTTTGAAATATTGATTTTTTGAAATATTTAAGTATGTAAGTGAATTTTTGAGGTGTACAATTTACGATAAAGTTTTCATTGTTGAAATAAATATTCTGGTTTGCTTTCAAATAATGAAATTAGATTTTAAAATGTATCTCCCGTTTCGTTCAAATCTTTTTTCTGTACTAAATCACGGGTAATTGAAAATATTTTACTATCTAAATATTTCATCTGTAGTACAAAATTTCGCTAACACTTATAATTCTTAAAATATGCTTTTTATTTTGATTTTCTTTTGAACAACCTATCAAGGAGGTTACATACAGCGCCATCTGCCCGCAAATAGATCAATAAATATCAAGTAAGTTGCGTACAGCGCCATCTGCCCGCGAATAGATCAATAAATATCAATTAGGTTACGAACAGCGCCACCGGCCCGCGAATAGATCAAGCAATAGTTCGGATAATTCTGTCGATACAGATCCCGAGCTTGAGAGTTACAAGCAAACAAAGTTACATACATATATACATACAGGTGAAGCTAATACAAAACATATACATTCTTTCGAGAATGGTTTAATTTCCTTTCCAAATTTTTTAATTAAATCTTTCGCGTACTTGTGATGCACTGTTTGGAAAATTATTATTTCTGGAGTTTTTCCAAACCCCAAACCGTTATTTTAACACCTCGACACGTATTTCGATCACCAAGTGATCATCTTCAAGAGAAAGACCTTCCTGATGATAACTTGATGATCGAAACACGTGTCGAGGTAATGAAATGTCTGTTTGGTGTTCGGAAGATCTTCCCCTTGAAGATGATAACTTGGTGATCGAAACACGTGTCGAAGTGTTAAAATATTCGATCCGCTTTTACAACTACTGCAATTATGATATTGATAACACTAGGTAGATATTTGTGAAGAGTTTATCACGATAACATAATCTAATGAAGCAGAGTCATTCAGATTCGCAAGTTATAAGTTTCATATGACTAAGTTGGATTTCTAAAAAAGGAAGTTATTCGTTTCAAAAAAAACGACTACACGTAATTTCATGTATCAAGAACCTTACACTGGAAATCACGAATCTACTAAGCAAATTAAATAACTAGCGATGGTTTCATTTCAGAGTACCTACCTACTGCCTTTGAGTTTGCTCAGTAACTCAAAAGATAAACGCATTCCATAACATGCACACTAACAACACTATCCTGAACTACAACAGCACAACACTAAAAATGAATGAAGTAATCCGATCCAAAGCTGCCAAGCTGATACGCACACTCCAGATCAACAATTCACAATTTTCCGACTTTGAATTGTTGTCATTTTCCAAAATTTTTTTATGTATGGCTAGCTCTCTAGCTTCATGAAAGAACGTTCCCAGCAAGTGGCCGTCGATGGATATCTCTCGAATACTTTTACCATCAACGCTGGTGTTCCCCAGGGATCCATATTGTCTCCAACCGTCTTTTTATTGTATACATTGCTTTGCTGACGACAGCACACTTGTCTCGTTATTCCTTTGGATTCCAGGACATCGGATGCGGATGTCACCGGCAGCAGAAGGTTGCATATCTTGAAGAGGATCTAGAATTGATTTTGAATTGGGGTGAAAGTAACCAGGTTCAATTCAATGCCACAAAATCCCAGGCATCGGTTTTATCCAAGAACCGGATATAATAATGTCAGGACAGACAATTCCAGTTTCTGCTTCGGTGAGTTTGTTGGGAGGTTAAAATGGACACCAATATGTCTTGACACAATCATGTCGCTGGAATTGCAAAAGCTGCATTTTAAAAGCTTGGTACACTGTTCCGAACCAGAAAACTCTACACACCTCGATAACTTTTGATGCTTTTTGAAGCTCACATCAGACCTTCTTTGGAGTATTGTTCTCATGTGTGGAGCTTCGCCCCTAAACATATAGTCTTCTAATCAACAAGTTCCAAAACATGAAAAATAGAGATAAAGATCCTAAAAATATGAGCGATAGCTCATTCGATTCGGAATCACCTCTAGAAAAATGTTTTTGAAGAATTTTGGTGCAGGTAAAAAATTGCAATTGTTATTAACAAAATAAGATTTAAGAAAATGGTATTTAGTTTTTCGGTAATAACTCAAAAAATATTAATATTTAAGCAATTTTTAAAAAGCTCGTTAAAGAGGAGGTGAAGAGAGTTTATCAAAAGAAATAATTTTTGTATGACATCATATGTCATAGTAAAAAT